TTCCCCATGTTGTGGAGATGTTGTGCTCTTCTAAGAATTGGGGCCTGTAGTCCTTCTTTGAACCTTGACAATGACCCACAGCTGTTCTTTGCTTTGTGCAGATCCTGGAAAAAACTGTTTTCCCTTGTGGAGTTACTCTTGATATCTGTATGAAACATCCATCTTGGAAGCCTCTGATTAAAAAGTAAGTGACTTGTTCTGATTCGATTCCTCGTTACCTCCTCCTTAGGAAAATAGCGATAACAATAGCATTTAAATTTATATACTGCTTTTACAGTGCTTTTACAGCCCTCTTTAAGCGGTTTACAGAGTCAGCCTCTTGCCCCAACAATCTGGGTACTCATTTTATCGACCACGGAAGGATGGAAGGCTGAGTCAACCTTGAGCCAGTGAGAATTAAACTCCAGAAAGTGGGCAGAATCAGCCTGAAATATTGCATTTTAAGGATTGTGCCAGCAAGGGAGGGAGAGAGGAAGGGAAAGCGGGAGGGAGGGCAATAGCACTTAGACTTATATACCACTTCACAGTGCTTTACAGCCCTCTCTAAGTGGTTTACAGAGTCAGCCTCTTGCAGTGGTTAGAGTGCAGAACTGCAGGCTACTTCTGCTGACTGCTGGCTGCCTGAAATTTGGCCGTTCAAATCTCCTACCCACCTCGGAAGCATGGAAGGCTGAATCAACCTTGAGCCTGGTGGGATTTGAACTGCCAAATTACAGGCAGCTGGCAGTCAGCAGAAGTAACCTGAAGTCCTGCTGTCTAACCACTGCGCCACTGAGGCTCAAATACTCTGTTAATCTGTCTAGGCCAATATTTCTCAACCTTGGCAGCTTTAGGAGGGATGGACGTCAACTCCCGGAATTTTGGTTTGGCTAGTCTAAAGAAAAGAAGACGTAGGGGTGACATGAGACCAATATTCCAGTATTTCAGAGACTGCCACAAAGAAGAGGGGGTCAAATTATTTTCCCAAGCACCAGAGGGCAGGACAATGGTTGGAAAGTAATCAAAGAGAGAAGCAACCTGGAATTAAGGAGAAACTTCCAAACCTTGAGGACAATTAACCAGTGGAACAGCTTGCCACCAGAAATCATGGGTGCTCCATCCCTGGAGGATTTTAAGAAGAGGTTAGAGACAGTTACTTATCTAAAATGGTATAGGAGGCTGGACTAGAAGACCTCCAAGGTCCCTTCCAGCTCATTCTATTCTAAGAATTCCAGCATGGCTGGGTGGGGTATTCACCCTTCTTAAAGTTGCCAAGGTTGAGAAACACTGATCTTGGCTAACATTGGGACTAGAAAAAGGATGCAGAACCTATAGCAGTGATGGCGAACCTTTATGTCACAGTGTGCCAAAAAATGCGTGTGAGTGCGATAGCGTGCGCATGTGCTGGCACCCGCAATGCAATGTGCCCCCCGTGCATGCGCACGCAACACCCCCGCCCTGCCCCCTTACCTGCACTGCGCATGCGTGCGCTGCTCCCAGCTGATTTTCGGCCCCTTTGAGGCCGTTTTTGCCCTCCCGGAGGCTCGAGGAAAGCTTTTGCAGCCTCGGGAGGCCGAGACATGGGACTTCCGGAAATACCAGAAGTGTCGAAACGGGCCTGTTTTTCGGCCTCCTGAGGTTGCAGAGGCTTCCCTCGAGTCTTTGGGAGGGCGAAAATGGCCTCAAAACGGGCCAAAAATCAGCTGGGAGCAGCGCACATGCGCAGTGCAGGTAAGTTTGGCTGTGGCTCGCGTGCCATCGGTTCGCCATCATGGACCTAAACGATTCCCCGATCCCTCGCCCTCAAATCTCGGCCTTCAGAATCTTCAGAACCCTAAAAAAAAAAGGCCAGCTGATGGACCAAGGCAGCTCCACTTTCTTGGGTGTTTTCTTAACCAATAAGCAAAATGGGAGGGAGACTTCATCCCCAGTCTGGACTTCATTCTGTTTTCTTCCAGGTTGAACATGATCCAGTGCAGAGCGCTAACCTGCCTTCACAGCATCTTACTGGTGTCGGATGTGGATAGCCTGGGGGGCCCGTCGGTGCTTCAATCCCTCTCACAGCACCTGTCTCAATTAATTTTTTCTCAGCCAGGTTTGCTTCAGGCTTTGATTATTATTATTTTTTTTTAGGCTCCTTCCAGCTTGGTAGGAGTCGTTCTTCCCCGCTGCCTCTGTTGCTCATCCTTCCCAATCCTTCTGCTAATTGCACCGGCTACTCGATCTCTCTACCTTTTAATGAGTGGGCTTCCTGCTGTTTTGTCTTTGTAGGCCCCTGGAGAGCAGGCTTATTTATTTAAGGAAGGCATGAGGGAATATATGTTGCAGTTGGCCTCCTGGCCTGCCATGTCATTGCCTGAGGCCTTTGAATCAGTTTTGAATCTTGCCAGGACAACTCTCCGTGGGTTTTTTGGGGCGGGGGGCAGCGTTTTTCAGAAATGGCGGCCTCTTGCTACCTTCTTGGGGATGTCGGGAGGGACTAGCCCAAGTCACCGAGCTGGTATTCATGCCAAAGAGAAGACTAGAATTCATGGGGGATGGGGTGGCTCACTGGCTAAGACGCTGAGCTTGTCGATCAGAAAGGTCGGCAGTTCGGCGGTTTGAATCCCTAGCGCCGCGTAATGGAGTTGAGCTCCCGTTCCTTGTCCCAGCTTCTGCCAACCCAACAGTTAGAAAGCACATAAAAAATGCAAGTAGAAAAATAGGGACCACTTTGGTGGGAAGGTAACGGCGTTCCGTGCGCCTTTGAAGGCGTTTAATCATGCCAGCCACATGACCACGGAGACGTCTTTGGACAGCACTGGCTCTTCGGCTTTGTAATGGAGAGGAGCACTGCCCCCTTGAGCTGGAAATGACTAGCACAGATGCGCGAGGGGAACCTTTACCTTAACCTTAACAATTCATGGTCCTCCAGTTTTTAATCTGGAGCCTTGAACCAGTGTCTCTGAACTTGAAGATGGCTGGACTTCAACTTCCAGAATTCCTTAGTCAGCCTGGAGGTTAAGGAATTCTGGAAGTTGAACTCTATATATCTTAAAAGTTGCTGAGGTTGAAAAACACTAAACAAATTTCTCACTTAGCAATATCAACCTGGGGCTCCATTGTGGTCATAAGTTGAGGATTGCCTGTATCACTGGTGTTTTGAGCTCAAAGAAAATGTGCTCTTTTATTTTTGGACAGAATTTTCCAAAGAAGCGGAGTTTCTAGAAGCCGTCACCAGTGCGTTGCGAGCTCTTTTGCAAATGTTGGCATCCAATAATATACCTCAGGTGAGTTTTCTGGACATGTTGGCCTCTAATATCAGAGTTTCCACATGTATGGTGGAAAACCACATGCTGGCGGGAGAAAATGCTGCCAACCTGGCCAGATACTGGGCGAATGTCATTTGGTTTTAATCCTACTTATTTCACATACGTTTTTTACATGTGCTATATTTCTAATGGCCTGTTCTATTTGCTCAGGATTGAAGGTTTTAATCTCTCATTTGAAGGTGCTTCTGACAGGAATAGAGAAAGTTTTCACAATCTGATTATAGAACATGCACGTGATATGAAGTGGTTAAAATTGTGCACATCTGCAATTTCTTGAAGATCTTTTGAGTTAAATAGGAAGGGGGTCAGAGCCACTAGTTCTGAAGGGATTTAGGACAGGAGTATGGCTCAGAGGCTAAGACACTGAGTTTGTCGATGAAAACGGTCAGCGGTTCGAATCCTTAGTGCTGTGTAACGGAGTGAGCTCCCATTATTTGTCCCAGCTTCTGCCAACCTAACAGTTCAAAAGCATGTAAAAATGCAAGTAGGAAAATAGGGACCTCTTTGGTGGGAAGTTAACAGCGTTCCGTGCACCTTCTGGGGTTTAGTCCTGCCGGCCACACGACCACGGAGACGTCTTTGGACAGCGCTGGCTCTTCGGCTTTGTAATGGAGATGAGCACCGCCCCCTAGAGCCGGAAACGACTAGCATGTATGTGCGAGAGGAACTTTTACCTTTACCTTTATGGCTTCATCATGCAGAGATAGGATCCGTTTGCAAGAAACAATAAACCAAAAGATGGTTCAAACTTAGCTTCTTTAATGATGCCTTGTTGAATAAATCATAGTTTTGTGTTGTCTGAATCCAGCACATGAAGCCATAATCTAAACTATAGACTCTTGTTTCATACTAACATGGAATTTTTAAACCATGGTTTGTTGTACAAACCCTAGCATTCTAATTTGACGGTCGTCTTAAGCCCCGAGGTGTGGTTTCACACATTATACTGGTGTGTAATTTACCCTAGACCTGTCTGTATAGTGCTGCACCTGAAGTAGGACTGGGAAACAATGCCTCTGAACACAGGCAGAATATTTTTGTGTAAATAAAAAGAAATGCATACAATAAATATAATTAAAATATATAGGTTGGTTCAAGGGAAGAACCAAATTTTATTTATTTATTTTTATCAATTGCTTACAAGATAATAGGTATAAGTAAAAGCATAGTTATGAATACATGGATACATATAAGAAAAATAAAAAATATAAAAGAAACAATAGGACAGGGACGGTAGGCACGTTGGTGCGCTTATGCACGCCCCCTACAGACCTTTTAGGAAAGGGGTGAGGTCAATAGTGGACAGTCTAAGGTTGAAGTTTTTGGGGTTAGAGGATATAACAACAGAGTCAGGTAGAGTATTCCAGACATTGACCACTCTGTTGCTGAAGTTGTATTTCCTGCAATCAAGTTTGGTCCGGTTTACCTTGAGTTTGTATCTATTGTTTGCTCTAGTGTTGTTATGGTTGAAGCTGAAGTATTCATTGACAGGTAGGACATTGCAACGTATGATTTTATATAGTGAATTATATCAAATTAGAGATAAGGAGAAAATTCCTGACCATGAGAACAATTAACCAGTGGAACAACTTGCCTGTAGAAGTTGTGAATGCTCCATCGTTGGAAGTTTTTCAAAAAGAGATTGGACTTTTGTCTGGAATGGCATAAGTGGTGGGGTGGGGGTTAGATTGAAACACTTCCAAGATCCCTTCCAACTCTGTTATTCTGTATTCTGTAAATATATTTTATTCCTGCTCATGCTTGTGGATGACTTCTTAAAAGCATATGACGTGGTTTGACCACCAGCCTGTGCCATGACCCTTTTGTTTTTCACTCGAAACGAAAATATTCCTCCAACCAAAACAGCTTCCCCAGTTACACTGGGATTGTAAATTCCCAAAGTGGCTCTCGGGGGAATTGCAATCCCTGCCCATCTGGAGGGCTCCAGGTTTGGAGTTGGCCAAACAGATGTTTGACTCTCTGTGATCCCCCCCCCCTCTTCTGTTAAAACAGTCGATGAACCCGGAGCAGCTGATGAGTCTGTGTGACACCGGAATTCAGAGCACAAACATTAGCGTCCGAATCAATGTGGTTAGCATTTTGGGAATTGCTGGGAGTGTGCTCGCCAAAGTGGAAGGCATCACCGAGACACTCAAGGTAAAGTCTTTTATCACGGTCTCCAAATCAGCTGTAACTGGCTTAGTTGTTCGTGAAAAAAAAATCTTGGCCGTCATTTTTCTCCTCCCCCACTAGATCAGGAAAGTCTAATATCTGGAGTTTTGTCAGATCTCTTTGCAGGTCCCGTTCTAACTTCTCAAGATGGTTGGAAACGGAGGGTGGTGGTGGTTCGTTTTACATAACAGATCTCTTCCAGCGAAGTGCTCCTCAGTTCTTGGTGGTTTTGCAGTCTTCACTGGTGGGAGAGATCCTGGGCTAGTGCCATGGCGTTTCTTTCTTTTCCCCATGCCTTGTTAGTCCTCAGCAAAACAAAAACTTTTGTCTGTGTTGTGATCTATGGCAATAGCACTTCGACTTATATACCGCTTTATAGTGCTTTACAGCCCTCTCTCAGCGGTTTACGGAGTCAGCATATTGCCCCCCAACAATTGGTGTCCTATGCTGTTATCTTCTCCGGAAAATATTATTTAAATAAAAAGGATCCAGTGGGAGTACTAAAAATTGATAAAACAAATCCAAGAGGAGCTGCTGCAGCACGCTCCGGCAACCAGCTTCCCCTGGCTCCAACCTCAAGGTAAAGTCAGTTGTCATCTTGCTCATAACGGGGATGTCAGTTGCTTGGAAGGTAATGGATGGAAACTAACCAAGGAGAGAAGCGACCTAGAACTAAGGAGACATTTCCTGACAGTGAGAACAATCAACCAGTGGAATGGCTTCCCTTCAGAAGTTGTGGGTGCTCCAACACTGCAGGAGATTGGGCAACCATTTGTCCGAAATCCTATAGGGCCAGGATGGCAAACCTATGACACGCGTGCCAGAGGCGGCATGCAGAGCCCTCTGGGCATGCAAACCGTCGCCCCAGCTCAGCTCTGCCACACATGCACACACGCCTCCCGCTGGTCAGCTGGTCTTCGGGTCTCTGCTACACATGCAGGGGGGCATGCACAGGCATGGAGTGCATGCATGGGGTGGGGTGCATGCACAGAGGTTGTGGGTGCATGCATGAGGGATGTGCGCGCATTGCATTTTGGCGATGCATGCACTCACACGCGCTTTGGGCATTTGGTGCCGAAAAGGTAAGCCACCACTGGTATAGCGTCTCCTACTTGGGGAGGGGGTTGGGCTAGAAGATCTCCAAGGTCCCTTCCAGCTCTGTTGTTCTGTTTTTTCCCTTTGGATTCGGCATTTCTTTTGTCGTTCCAGAACATCGGAAAATTCCTCCTCAATGTTGCAACGAAAGACGCTTCCCTTGTGGTGGTGGGAGAAGCTTTGGACGCCCTCTTCGACGTTTTTGCCGATGGCAAAGAAGCGGAAAGGGCAGCGGAGGAAATTAAATTGCTTTACGCTCTTAAGGAATTCCAGCCGGTTTTCAAGTCACGGGTAAGCATGCGGTTTCCTAGTGAATGGGGGAGAAGGTGGAGGGCTAAAATGGTTTAGGGTTAAACAGCTGACTTTTCTTGCCCAGTTGCATTCATTCATTGATTTCCTGAAAATCCCCAACATCGGCTTTATTTTAAAATACCCACGTTACTAGTTCTCGTGGTTTTAGCAGTGCATTTTGAAATGGGATGGCTACACTTTTTGTCACTGACAACTTTGATGTGATTTTTTTTAGTAGAAAGTTGGATGTAGAAACAGGCAGGTTATGGGAATTGTTTCTGTTTTATTTCCTGGGGTAACAAATTTAGCTTGCCTTCCTGCCTGCCTATGTATGTCCGTGTGTGTGTATCTATCTATCTAATCTAATCTACTGTATGGTTTGCCAATTGCACAGTGGCAGATAGGACAGCACTCCAGAGGGCTAACGTTATTGCCCAGAGGATCACTGGTTGCCCTCTCCTCTCTTTGGAAGAGCTTTATAGCTCCCGCTGCCTTAAGAAAGTCCAAAACATCCTCAAAGATCCATCTCATCCTGGGAACCCTTTTTTTTTTTTAACTATTATCATCTGGCAGACGGTACAGGATAATAAAAACAAGGACAAATAGGCTTCTATCCCAGGACAGTAGCTCTGTTGAATTTTACTATACAATGCAATATTAATGCATCATCAGGGTTTTCCATTCAGTGTATAGAATGTGAAGGATGTGTGTTTGTGTTTGTTTTCAGTCATAATGTACACTGAAGATGGTATTTAGTTGTACAAGGTGCAGTGACAATAAACAAAAAACTATCGCTATTCATGAGTGTTCAGCTCATTTAGAGCTTCCACATTTCATTTTTTTAACTGCAGATGCGAAAAGAAGGCAGAGGACAGTACAACACAGAACAACTATGCGTTCTAGACAACGTGAAGCTGAATTTAAGAAGATTTATTGCCTATCAAGAAATGTTGGACAGAAAGAAAAAAGTTTTGGAATAGAAATAGGATGGAAAAGTCTATTTTTGATACACCTTTATGGAATGTTTTAACCATGAATTCTATAGGACTTTGTAAAAACAGCTAGTAGGAGAAAAGGGTTGTGGTATTCTTTTCATATTATGTCTTATATTGAAGGGGGTGAAAGGGCAGAGAAAAATGCTAAAATGAATTCAACACCACAAAGGGTCATAATTTGTCCTTAATGTGGCGGAATGTTTTGTTTTGCCATTCTTAGAAAAAGAATGAGCAAAACAATCTAAAATAAAAGATTAGAATGGAAGTACCAATTTTCTTAATGTGGACAAAATAATTTGATTTCCTGGATGATATATTTCAAGGTTTTCTTGTTTCTTTTTAAAGTAAAAGTACAATGTAAAAAACAGGATAAAAACGTTTTTCCTGGGTGATATCAGTTTGCTCAGTGCCCAAATATGGAGAGTTTTCCTACTTAAAGAAAAAAACACTTTTATGGGTAACCGCCAAGTTGACACATTGTATTTTGCTAATATACATAATATATATAGAAGCATATTTCTTCATATTGAAATTTGAAATTCTTTTAGGCAAAAGCTGTGCAAAATAACTACATTTTCTACCAAAAAAGAAGTTATGTGTTGTGTTTGGATTCCATGCTGGTGAATGATAGCCATGAAATAATTGACATTCTCATAATTTGTGTTAATTGTACTGGATAAACTATGACAAACGAGAGTAGATGATAAACTATGGTACCCTGGGTAAACTGATACAACTTGGGGGCACTGCCAAATATCTTCTTGCTGCTATGTGTAGCCTGAACAAGCCTTTTACCATATTCTGGTTAAATAGCCTTCTAAGCCAAATTCGTTTGCATTCAGCCAAGAGGTTGGATTGAAGGAAGGCCAGCTAATAATAAAAAATAAGGAAGCCTTAATGAACTAATTCCAGCTACCAGTAAGGTTCAGGATTAAGCAATCTCTGTATAATCAATATGGATGCTTCTATCCCTTGTTTGCCGTGTGGGCTGCCCCACCCTGTTGAGTTTGTACCTCCCTTGTTTCTGCAACGCAGATTTACTACCATTTTGCTTTCACTGACGGAGAGAACTCTCACGTGAGTCATAGCCCAGGGGTACAATCCATATTTGGCAGCTAGGCGGTGAACTGATCTAATCCTAGCATTTCCAAGTGGGTTGAACAAACTCCTCCCTTAAAACCTGGAAAGCTGCGGCCAGCCAGTTGGCCTGATTCAGCGTAATCAAGCTTTCTCAGTTGACTAGTACAATGGCTATTGGGAAGGGTTGCAACAGGGATGAATGAGGTGGTAATATCAGGAGTAAAGAACCAGGACCGTGCATTAAGCTCCAGTTGAACCGATTTATTGCTCATGCGTAGGCCCAAGGATTTAGTCATGGTCAGCACTAAATTGGCGCTGGAGAAGAATTAGTGGAATTCAAGAGGGCTTAGACCACTTGTGAAAAGGTAAGGATTCCAGGCTGATGCTTCTCTTGACTCCACCTCTCCTCCTCCTCCAGGTACCAGAGTAAGACAATATCAGAATTGAGTTACTGAAGGATTGCAACTAATGTGATTCACGTGATAAGGTATAGCTTGTGAAAGTTGCGGAAAAATCTTTTTTTTTTTTTAACCTACTCTAGAAAATTTGGTGAATTGAACAGATCGTAATAAAATATTAGCATTTTTTTTGCTAGGAAACAATGGCGTGGCAGTTTGGTCCTTGGCTAAGCTGCTGGACTAAGACTGGGGAAACTCATTTCCTGTTCCTTCCACCTGAGTATCATTTGACCAATTCTGTCTTATCCTAAGGACATCTAAAATGGCTGCCAAGAGAACCGTATGGACATTTTCACAGTCCCCAGGTGTCATTGATTCAAAGGCATCCTGATTTTTTTTCAAATCATGCAAAATATTTTGTGATCTTCCATGTTATACAATACAAACATGGAATAAGTAGCTGCTTTTGAATAATCTTCTGGGACACGGATGGAGCTTCATTGTTGCAATTGCACATTTGCTTTCCAGCTATTCAAACCAATTTTAATCATATCTCAGGAAAAGGATTTTGGAGACGCTGAAATAGAATTGAAATGAAGCTAAGAAAAATCACGTAATTCTCCCCCCCCCCCCCCCTTAATTTAGATTTGGACAAATTCAGACATGCATGGCCTCTAAAGCAATCCTTTTCAAACCATCTAGGACAGGGGTCTCCAACCTTGGCAACTTTAAGCCTGGCTGACTTCAAGTCCCTGGGAGTTGAATTAAAAAATTAAAACTTCAATTCTGGGAGTTGAAGTCCTCCAGGCTTAAAGTTGCCAAGGTTGGAGACCCCTGATCTAGGAATCTGAAATGTATTGTGAAAATGTTATTGCTTTCTTTAATAGACACTGTACTGAGTAATACGATTATCTAGTATTATCTATTGTAAAGATGTTGAAATACATCAGTAATTGCAAATTTTTCTTTTCACACATGAAAACTGGCATGTGTACCTAATACACATGACTACGCAGATACATATGAGCTCTTACTTGGAGAAATAGATGTTTCTGCGGCCTTTTTTGATTTTGGAGATACTGTCCAAGAGACGATTTGTAAATGGAAATCTTCCCTCAACATGATTAACCACAAATGCACTATAAAATGGAAGGAAAAAGCTACATTAAATAACCCCAACATCAGGCTTTGATACTCTGGATTAAGAGACACAATTAACATGACCTTTGTATATAAGGATAGTTTATTTTGTGGTGGCTTTGATCATCCCTAGAATTTTGGCAGTGGTGTGCAGCAAATTATTGGCTTAGATCAGTTGAAGTTCTCAGAATGTTTTCAGATTTGCTTTTATTTAGCATGCACAGATATACGTGCAAAAGAAAGGCAGGAGACTTGAGGGGGTGAAAGAATACCTTTATCTCAACGTTCTACCTTAAGCTTCAACCAAGAAGATATGTTTTGCTGAGTCAATAGTTTGAGCTACTGCATTTAATTTGGACGAGTCATGTGGGATCCTATTGGGATCCATCAAAATGCCTGGAGGATATGTCCTTAATGTTTACGAAGAAGGCCCTCTGTTGCATTCTTCCCAACTCCAAGGATTAGTTTGGAAAAAAAAATAGAGAAGGTTGCAGGCTTCAAAGCTAAGTATCTACAGTTGGGTCCTTGGTGTTTTTCTGAGCTTGGTTGTTGCTTGCAGACATTTCATTACCCAGGTAGGTCACATCATCAGTGCTAGAAGGGAGTATCTACTAGATTATCCAGTTAGGATCATCTTGCTAGTGCTGATTATGTTACCTAGTTGGGTTGTGAAATGGCTGAAGAAAACAGGCAAGCACCAAGGACCCAGAGTTCAACCCCCGAATTACAAATATTCTTTTTTATTGGTATTCTCAGTCACATTGATTTCTAAGAGGCCTTCAATTGCAGATGGCCTGAAGCATCCCGAGAATGTATAGCTGGAATCCTGGCCTTGTTTTTTTTTTATGTATGCACACCTGTTGAGAGATTAAAAAGCATAAAGATTACCTACGTAGAATCAAGTAACTGCCCTCTTTTCTATGAAAGTTTGGTCTTCTATCATTTTTGCTCTGACCAATTATAATATATAATGTAATATGCATTAATAAATGAACAAACACCCCACCCTTTTCTAGGAAGTTTAGAAGAATACATATTCTTCCAATTTTGTTATTTGCCCAGAGTTATGTCCTATGGAAAATTATTCTATATAATATAAATAAATGAACAAAATCTCCCTTCTATGAAGGTTTAGTACTTCTGCCATTTTTGTTCTTTTGGCCCAGTGCCAATTCAGAATTGGCTGGAATATAAATAGATGGATGAACCTCTTTTCTGTGAAAAGTACCACATTTTTCTATTGTTTTCCTAAACATTTTTAAAATAGCCCAGACTTGCCAGGCTGCGTGTTGTGTATATATGTATCTCAGATTTATCTACATCTATCTCTACCTATATCTATGTATGTATATTAATATAATATATATATATACTACCTTCATGTACATATACAAATGTTGTATGTAGATCAGTGTCATAAACGAGCCAACCCCTCAGGTTCAAAAGAAAGACCCGGGATAAACATTCCCAAGCCCCTCCCGACCACCTCCGCCCCCGTCCCCTCAATCTACTGGGAAAGCTCGAGGCTTCCCTGCAAAGCAGGGCCCCACCTCCCGCGGCCCAGCACCCCGAAAGACCCTTTGGGGCGGCCTCCTCCCCCCAGGGGCTCCGCCGCGCTCCCCCTTCGGGCCGTCCGCGGAGGATCCGTCTCCATCTCGGGCTGCGAGGCAGGCAAGGGCGGGGAGGACCCGCCGGGCGACCCCTCCACCGCGTGGGCGACCGTCTTTCTCCGGCGAGGCCGCCGTCCGGCCTTCTCCTTCTCCCTCCCACGCCTTTATTACGCGCGGCCCGGGCGGCGGCGGTGGCGGCGGCCGCCTCTTCGACAGGGCCCCGCCTCGCTCGCTTCTCGCTCCGCGCTGCCGGCCGGAGGGGGGGTTGGGTGGCGAAGCAGCCGCCGCCGCAACAGCAGCTGCCGTCTCTCTCTCCCTCCCTCCCGCCGGTCGCCGGTCTTCTCCGCCCGTTCTTGTCAGGAGGCGCCCGGCCGCGCGTGTCCTCCTCCTCCTTCCTCCTCCTCCTCCTCCTCGGCCGCCGCCGCCGCCTCCGGGCTCCTCCGCCTCGCCGCTCCCCGCAGGGCGCCGCGCTCCCGAGAGGCCGGCGGGGCTGGGCCTGCCCGGCCCAGCGGCGGCGGCGGCGGCGGCGGCGGCAGGCAGGAGGAGGGCGAGGAGGAGGAGCCGCCGCTGCTGCTGCTGCCGCTGCCGCCGCCCCGTCGCTCTTGGGCCGGCTCGCCGTTTGATGGATCCCCGGATCGCCTGGTTCCAGCCAGAGCAGCTCGGGCCCTCGAACCGCCTGTGGATGCAGATTTGGGAGACCACGCAAGGGGTCCGCAACCTCTACTTCCAGCAGCAGCACCAGCAGCAGCAGCAACAACCACCCCAGCCGGCTGCCGCCGCCGCCGCCCCGGCCTCGTCGTCTTCCTCCTCCTCGTCCTCCTCGTGCAGCAGCAGCAGCAGCAGCTCCCCGTCGACCCCCGTGGCCGCCGCCTCTGCTTCGTCCCCCCCGCCGCCGCCCGGCATGTCCCGCGTCCCGCGTGGCGGCGACCCGCAGCCCGACTTCCTGCCGCTGGAGACCGCCGGCCTGCCCCACCACCACCACCATCATCACCATCACTACCACCAGCAGCAGCAGCCTCCCCCGCGGCGGCAGGCCTCTCCGCAGCCTCCCGCCTGGGCAGCCCGGCCCGGCGGCGTCCAAGCGAGCCCCGCTGCCCCGGGCGCGGCCTCCTCCTCCTCCTCTTCTTCTTCCTCCGTTCCCGCCGCGTCTTCGTCGGGCTCCTCCGCCGCCGCGGGGCCTTCTCCGGCCGCCGCGGCCTCGGCTCCCCGTGCGGCTTCGCCCGCTGCTCCGGCTGCCTCGGCCGCCGCCGCTGATGCCGCTGCGGCGGCGGCGGCGGCGGCCAGCAACAAGAGGAAACGGGACAACAAGGCCAGCACTTTCGGCTTCAACTGCACGCTGCTGCTGGGCCCCGCCGGGGAAAGCGGCGGGACGGCTTTGGGGAACGGGCCCTTGGGGAGGCCGCCGTGCGGGCCGGAGGAACCGGCCTACACCGGCACCCCGTGGAAGAAGACGAATTACAGCCCCGGCGTGGTGGGGTGAGGAAGGGAGCCTGGGGAAGGGACGGGGGGAGGTCTTTGGGGGTAGGGCATGGGGGGGGGCAGGAGAAGAGGGTCTTTGGAGGGAGG